TACCGGGCCCCTAGCTGATCGCAAAGTCCTGCGGTCGTCCTCTCCGGTGTTCTCCTCATCGCTCATAGGCTACAACACTGTGCACCGTCTACACTAGATCATTCAAGATGCCTACCGCAGCATAGTCCACAGACCAACTAATTAGTGGTGGCTATTTTGGAACAGATCTCATGTGGGGTCAACAGGTAAGTCAGATTCCTACTGTCAATACTATTTTTAGTAAGATTAGTTCTCAAACAGAGGAAGGATCAGGAATAAATAATATTCTAAACTAATGCTGTCTGTCAGATGTCACATGGCTGTCCATCTAACTAATCAAAAATAAAAATAATGTTGACTTACCGGGTCTGTTCACAGCTTGGAATTTAAGCCGGAACTTATCACCTGGAACCTACCCCTCCCTTTGTTCTTCTCAAAGTCACGGTGTCACGTTTCTTCGCATCAGAAGCCAAGCGTGTCCAAAAGGTGTGCAATCCGGTCCCACCCCTGTGCCGCGGGTTATCGTCGAGCAAGGCAGCCACAACACTCTTATTTACCCTCGCCGACGAGCCTTCCACTCGGATGATCTGGCTGATCAAGAGGCAATTTAACGTCCGCCCCCAAGTGACATCAGGAATTATTTTACGTCGCAGCAGGACGACGATCACAGCCAGATCAGAGCCAAGTCCCCAGCCAGAAATGTTTATAGACGGTCTGGTAAGCGTCTGTAGAGGCTGCCACACTCGAGYTAACCCCTATCATGCGCAAGCAGCAGAACCAACGATTTGCAGTGAAGCATGCGTGTACTACACCCAGTCGGTTGGCATGGTGACCGTGACCCAGTGCTTCGTCCAGGGCCCTTCAAGAAGCTCCGCCCGTCTTCCCCCAGATGCTCCACGTGAACAATCACGACTCTCAAGGTTGAGCGCACACGACACCTCACGATGAGAGGACTCACAAGACATAACTCACAACCTCACGGTAAGAAGTGATGAAGAGGGTAGATAAGGTTAAGAGCAACGTACCTCGTTCATGCTGCCCCCAACCACAGAGATAGTCTCACCAGATGACCTGAAGATGATTG